GCTGCCTGCTGATTGGCTGACGTTTGGAGCAGTTCTTGAGTTGCTCATACGAGCACATGATTATGGGCTAATCCGTAGCAGCTAAACTCATACCTTCCTTTGTTGCTTTAGAGCTGCGATCTCTCTACAGAGCAAGAATAAGAATTAAAAAAAAAAAAAAAGCATCAGGAAATGGAGGAAAAGCTTTTTAATTGGCTGAGAGAGGAGTCGTTCATGTATTCCTGGCTGCGCTGGCACGTTTTGGCTTTGCCATGTAGCATGCATTCAGTCATGAAATCTGCAATTATAGGAGGGAGGTGCCTAATGGTGCATTTGTGTCTCTCATGCTGAAGCACATATGACTTCAAGCTGAAAATGAAAAAAGGAGTTCTCATAAATCATATCTAAACGCATATCTACACAGTATTTGTGTATGTTGGTGTTTCAAAATGGATTATTGTGTTTTTAAAAAAATAAAAAAGCAACCCAAAACCTAGCACTTTATTTACAGCGTTTAACCCTTAAACGATTAACTCTACGTGCAGGAGATGCAGGAGTCATTTTGCGGTGATGTGCACAAATGCCCACCTTTGAAATAAAAGTTGCCCTTCCATTGGCTTGGTGCCTGGCCCACTCGTTTTCTTCTTGTGACTTGGTCACAGGATGAGTAAAAACTGAAAATACCCAAGCATCAGATGAGGGAGGTGCATAGCAAACATAGCTAAGCTTTCTGTTGTTACTTGTAAAGGAGAGATTTCCAACATTCCTTTGGAATGCTACTAGTTTTAAATGTTTTATTTGCGTAAGACTGAATTCGCATAACCTGCTGTGGTGTTGCTCTCTGAAGGGCAACCCTCTTGCCCCTCTGACAGACTGGAAGGCAGCATTTATCAGATGGCTGCTGATTGGCTTGCACGGGTATGACCAAACCTGTCTGGACTGGTTACTGATTTATTTGTTTCTTCTGTTATTCAGCTCTCACATGAGATCTCTTACTTGGCTGCAGTGTGCTCCCTTGTGGGTATGGCTGGAAAAGCTTTAAGGCTGGTCTGCAACGATAAATGATATTTAGCTGTTAATCAGCATTTAGTGTTCATCTTTTAATCTCATCTGTGCGTATAATATTGTCATTTAGGGTAGCTTTTACTGGATATTCTTGGGTTGCAAAAGATTGTGGAATTGAGCTGAAAATATGCATGAGTTACTCTAACCATCTAACAATGGAATTTTGAGAAGCCTTTTTTTCATACAGGTTCACTGTAGAAATTAATTACAGCTTTGTTTTTAAACTAGATTTTGGATAACATCCTAAGATACAAAGTAAACATTTTAAAATATATTGGAAAATTTAATCGTATTAATTCACTATTTTTTTAAGGAAAAAGTAAGGATGTATCAATATAAAGGTATTCTGATGTTTAATTTTCAAGACTTTTGTTCTTGGCAAATTTAAAAAGGAAGTGGCCTTCATTTTACTCTGCATTTACTGTATTTTATTTTGTGTTAAAAATATGAATGAAAGACTGCTTAGATGATTAAGTAAACTAGAACAGAAAATATTAATTTGTTATATGTTGCGGTTTTTTTATTATTGAAGTGATGCAGTTATGAATTTGATTTTAAGCTGTCTGTGACAGTCTTATTAATCTGTTAATATATCTTTTGGACGTAAGTAGGATTGTGAATTTTGTAATCTAAGAACTTCTAAATTCTGAGTAATGTTTATAAAAGAAAGCATTGTAGTGCAGGAGATCAAACTACTTGTCTGTCTTAATTTTGATACATAGGCCCTGTATCTTTGTACTATATTAACAGAAGACTGTCACTAGCTGGTTACTTACTAGGAGCTCTTGGAATCGTTCAAGGTTAGGCAAGGCTGGAATTTTCTAATTTTTTCCAAATGGCTCTACAAGATACACATCTGTGACAGCATGCGTGTTGGTTGTAGGGGATTATATGTGTGGAACGTGAGTATGATGGTCAGTGTTCTGTTACGTGACAGTCTGATTAATACTTTTATAGCGAGATAAAAAAACGTGCTTTACATTCTAAGTTATTGGGAAGAAGGAAGGGGTATGCTTTCAGAAACTGCACATGCGCTCCTGAAATTCTAGTGGTGTTTATGTTTCTCCTAACTTCAGGACTAGATTTATTGTGTTAAATGTATTATCTTCTGGAAGAGTATGAAGATAGTGTATTTAGCATGTAGACAGCTCTGAGAGGACTTTAAGAGCTACCTGGAGTTCATATTTCATCAGACTGGAAATGGTTATGTGATGAGAATGTTTTCTAAAAGCAAGTAAACTGATGTTTCAGATCAGTGTTTTTATAGGTGTTATATTTTGCTCCCACTAGTGGCAATGCAGTAATAGACAAGCCTGTTTGGAAAATCTGGGTCAGGCTGGCAGAAATTCATGTCTTAATGGTATTATTGAGAGTCTGTAAATAGAGTCAGTACAACCTTTTGTGAATATTTGTTCATCTGTTCCTGAGGTGTGAATCAAAGTGATACTTAAGCACCATCAGTTATTCAAATATGAGGATTCTAGATTATCATGCAGAAAAGAACTGAAAGTGGAAGGGAATTTCAGTGTTACGTTAACAGGAAACACAAAACAGGAAAAAATAATTAATCATATTGTTTTCTATTTTTCGCATGTTTTTGTCAGATCATGTTAACTAAGTCCAAAAGAAGCCCTATAATTGTAAAGTATAGCATGTTGTGATTGTAAGGTTTAGAGTTTGTCTTCATAGTGGAATTCATGTTGTACCTTAAAATATATATTCATGTCTTATCGTAGAATATTCTAGGTGGGCAGTGCATAAATTTTAAATAATTTCCTTTATAAACAAACTGTTCCAAGTGAACTAGGAAAGGATCCAGCAGAGGAAGTGACCTGCAATGAGACACTGAGGGAGCTTGGCAACTTTAATCTGCTGAAGAGAAGGCTAAAGGGCAATTTTATGGTTGCCTACATCAAGCTTGTAGGCAAGGTTGGTTACAAAGAGGGTGGAGCCAAACTGTTGCTTAGGGGTTGTGGATTCTCGTTTTGTGAATTTTACGACTGGGTTGTATAAATCCATCACTGATCCGAACTAGTATTGGCAATAGTACTGCTTTTTTTTTTAATCAAAAAGTGAAAAACCACACCTCATACCCCACCTAAAAAGAAAAAATGCACTTTACTAATTAATATTTAGCTCTGTGAATGAAAGTGGACTAGGGGAAGATGCAAAATGAACTATATTAAATACTTAAAATGCATCCTTTGTGTAATAGTTCTGCTGTATCAGTGGTATAAACATTTGCTTATTTGGTCCTTGTGGAAAAAATAAAAATCATATAGAGGTAACTGCCTGTTTTCTTCCTTTTTCCTGCTTGATGTAATGCCTTTTAACTACTGTTACCTAAATGAATTTTTGCATGGTTTGAGAAACTTAAGCCATATCCTAGACAGGAGTAACTTTTGATTGTGTAGTAGCTTCAGTAGAGCCAAATTGGTTAGCACCAGCTGATTCCAGGTCTTAGTTGATGATTTTCATTTGGGATATATCAGATTCCTTAGCTGCTTTCTGCTTCTGAACAATATTATCATATCTAATCCTTTAAAACTGGGTCCTAAAACAAGACCACGCCGGGGGGGGGGGGGGGGGGTTTAAAAACTCTCTTATTTTTTTTTTTTTTGGGGTTTTTTTTTTTTTTTTTTTTTTTTTTTTGTAACTGAAACACTTGGCATTTCCGTGGCAGCCCTGTATCCCCAGTGGGGGTAAGAGTTACAGGTATTTTAATTATATATT